TTTTCAAAAGATATTTTTTTACATAAATCAATTTAGAATAAGATTAGGATCATTTTTTACTTAAGACACAAAAGTAGCTGTATTATTAAAATTTTGCAGTATTGCTTTTTAAAGTTTGTATTTTCTTATGATTTATTATAAAATTTATAACATAAAAATTGATTTTCCGATGATCATTTGTTTTGTCAATTTGGTCCCTTTTTGCAGCACCAAGCTCATATAATGATGTTCCTAGTTTTTAAATAAATAAATAATTCATTCGTGTATGTCAAATTTATCATGAATGAATATATGATTATAAAACTTTACCCGCTTCAGCAGTAACAGTCCAGCCATGTTTTGGATCTTTTTGCACTGTGACCTTATTTAATTTAGTGACTACTACCAGATAGTGTTCTGTGACAGATAGTGAACTGACAGTATGCCCTTGGGCAGCACATCTAATAGTTTTATTATTTTTCTTTGCTAATTTTACAATATCCTTAAGGTCTTCAAGCGTAGACGGTTCAAAAATGGCATTTGGAGAAATATCAATTGCTCCATTAAAATTTTCCCAAGTTTTATTGCAAATTGGTGTTGCAGAACGAATTATAAAGTTTTTATTAATGCTCACTATGACGGACTTATAATCCGTCGAAATAATTAGAATTAGCAAAAAGCTTAAAACGTATTTCACGAGCATTGTAAGCATTCGAATGGGAGTGATGTTTTCTTACGTTGAGATTAGAGATTGGTAAAATGATATTTTTTGTATAATGCATGATATATGCAGCATGGTTAAATTCTATTTAGCTACAATTACTAGTCAAAAGGTATTGTAATTTGGATTTATATTTTAATATATAGTTAAATTTTTCTAAATACAAACTTTACTCTAGTCCAATATATAGGGCACTGTTAATTAAAGGGGGAGCTTATAGCATTTTTTGCAAAAATGAGTTAACTATTATCATATAAAGTAGGTATTCATCTATGTAATTTGATATTTAAAATATTGACATACATAATAAAATTTTTGTCGATGCCTACTTTTCTAAATGTTATACGTATACGATTAGAAGTATCTAAAATTAGGATTTAGAAATCTTGTTGGTGATCCTTGCTGCAAAGTCATAGAAAGCATTCACGTGATTGGCTAATTTATAATAATAGATTGCATTATTATTGTTACCGTATTCCTCTAAAAATAAGCACCCCTCGGATCAATTTTTATAGCCAAAATTCTCGTGATCTAGTGATTGGATCTATTATTTTGGTACCATTCGAATCATTTTGACAAGTCGATTCGAATGGTACCAAAATTATGCAGATCCATTCACTAGATCACGAGAATTTTGGCTATAAAAATTGCTCCGAGGGGGTGCTTACTTTCGGATATCAAATTTGATATATGATTTTCTCAAAATGGAAAAAAATCCATAAAACCTCTTTAATTAACCGATCAATTTCTCAAAATTTTAATTTTATTATTGTTCTTCAAATGCAAGCTATTAAAAATCTGGTCTCTATAAGTTGCATTAAAGGAGATTTGACTTTATTTATCCAATCATTCAATGATCATTACCTGTACTATGTATTATGTTAAGGATCGTATTAAAACAAACATCACAGATGTATATGAATGACACAGATCTGCAGTGCTAAATTAGCTTTTATTTATAATTAAAAATATTGATCATATTTAAATTTATCTAAATATTTTCAAAGTGATATTTAATCTTATTTGAATTTGTTAGAGTATTTGCTAAAAGTCTATCTAAATGAATATTATTAAAGAGTTTTTTAAAAAATTTTGATTTTGAATAAAATTTAAGCTCTATTCTTGGAGTTTACTGTATGTTGAATTTCAAGTTGGATTTTTTAAATTTTTTTTTATATAAAATGTTATGTTTTTATTTAAATTTCAGATTTAATTTTAAGTAATATTATATTTATTTCAAAAATATTTACTGTAAATAATACTGATATATAAAACAAAATATAGTACCCAAATTTAAATATTTTATATGTCTCAAAAAATACATAGCTTGCAGAGAAAAAAAGAATTAGATAATATGTGTCCATTTTAAACAAAAGAGTATGATATTATATGGCAATTTTAAACAAAAAACTATGGCAATATATACCCACATTAAACAAAAGAGTATAACAGTATATACCCATTTTAAACAAAAGAGTATAACAGTATATACCCATTTTAAACAAAAGAGTATGACAATATATGAACATTTTAAACAAAAGAGTATAGCATTATATGCCCATTTTAAACATGTATAAAACATAGAATGATTGTGATTTTGAGCATTCATGGCATCCATCACATCTTCATAAGTATCTATAGGTCTATATTCTTCTGAAGAGAATTTCGAATGTTGTTCCTCAAGATTCTGATTTTCTTCAAGATACCTAGCATTATAAACATCCATAGATATAAATTGTTTCTTTGCTGATGAAAACTGCATGTGTTGTTCTTCAAGATATGCAATTGCTTTTTTCAAATACTTCATATCTTCTACTGTTGGCTTTGTAGGAAAACTTTTAACTTCTTTGGCAACATCTTGTATACTGCGACGATACTCTTTTAAAAAGTTTTCAAAATTTATAAGACTTGGTGCTATTTCTTTAAGCATTTTAATTATAATTCGAACTCGTAAAAGTTCATCTTCTGCTCTCTTTCGCACTGTATAATCAGCAATATTACCTAACCAATGCTTTTTTAAGGCACGTTCAGCCTCACGTTCTCCATCAATCAGGTACCCTTGTGTATTATCTGCACTATTATGGACTGAATCAATAGCAGTAAGAACCTGTTTAAGTTGTTCCAGAAACCCAGGTATTTGTTTTTCTAATACTTCAAGTCGCTTACAAATAAAATCTGCTACACTACTTGGCATGTTAATAAAATATTTGAAGAAACCGAACTCTAACCATTGTGATTTTTCAATTTCTTCCATTATTACCTTCATCTCACTTGCAAGTGAAAAGTAGAAGCTTTTCGCTTGATGTCGAAATTCTTCAAGCTCATCTCCTGCTTTGTGTATTTCTTTATCTAATCCAAAAAGTACTTCTGAAATTTTTTTTCCATTTTTAACCATTATATCACTTTTTTCCATTATCACACCAAGGTCTCGAATAATGACACGATAACTGCTCATCTCACTGGTTTCTGAATATATTTTAAAGGTATTTATTAGGCAAATTACATAACCTGTTCTATGTATATGTATTAATTGAATAATATATACCTGGTATTTCAAGCGACGATAATTTTTCCGATCCAGAATCTGCTAACTTTACTATACTTTGAAAGGTATGAGATTCATTTTGAGAAATATTTTGTCCAAATTGCTTCTAATAAATAAAATCAGATTATGATTTAGAATTTAATTTTTGTAAATAAGTATTATTTAAATTGATAAATTCGCTCTTACATTGATAACAATAGCCAGTAAAATAACTAATATTCCAATTAGTGAAACTTTAATGAGCAATTTTTTAGGTGGTTTATCATCCTTCTTATCTATAAATAATAAAAACGGTTCGGCGATTATTACAAGTTAAAAATAAAATAATTGACTAATATCGCATTGCTCAAATTTAAGTATATGATAAATTATGGACTTGACAAAGCTAATGGTAGCATTTAAACATTCATTTAAAAAAGAATTTGGCACAGCTTTCATGATTTAAATTTCGAATTCAATGAAGATAACTTAAAAGCTAAAATGTCATTAACAAAGCTAACAGTACCTTCCCTATTTAACGGTGTTTCGGTACAATTTTCAATATTTGCTGGCATGTTTACTATTTGTAGCTCTTAATCAAAGAGTAGTGAACAGATTGCTTAATATCCGATTTTATCAAGTACGTACCTGATTCGTATTGCTGTATTACATGCACAAATTCATGTAACCATGTCAATGTAACAAGTTCGTACATTTTTTTTAAAGTACAAATAAACTTCATAATGTGATGTATCGGTATAGAGTTTTTTTTTACATTTACAGTAATTCACAATACAAATCTGCATGGCGTAAATTTTGTACGAGTGTTTTTTTATATTTTTTCCTTAACCGGTTGTTGTGGATATACAAGGATATGGTTTGCATTGGGAATGCAATTTCTGCAGAATCTTAGAACCGTAGGTTATTTCATATTAATATTAATATCACATAAACCAATATCGGGTTTTTATGACAAACAACGACCAGAAGCAAAATAACGATACAGTTCCGCAAATGGATGATGGTGATTTTAATAAAATTCCAACTATAAGCAACAACTCTGTTGTTGTAGAAGATTTAGCTAACAACAATCCTAATAAAAGTTCTACCATTGTCAACAACTCCATGCAATCAAGCTTGAGTACTAGTAGCGATAGTTTTAATACTAGAAACAATTCTAATTCTGAGCAAGATTCAAGTTCTACTAATGATAACAATATCTCCAATAATAGTTACAACACGGAAGGTGCCAATTCTACACCTGAAAACGATGTTTCTAAGCAAAATCCAGAGTCTGTTAGTGACAATAATAACCTTGATTCTATTACTGTCAATGGTAATTCTAGTAATAGTTCTACTGATAGGCAGGATTCAAATTCTACTTCTGAAAACGATGTTTCTGAGCAAAATTCGAAGCTTTCTAGTGATAACGATAATCTTAACACTAAGCAAAATTCAGAATCTATTGCTACCAATGGTGATTTCGACAATAGTTTTGAAGATTCAAATCCTATTCTTAATGAGCAAAATTCGAGATTTAATAATGACAACAATGATCCTTACACCAAGCAAGGTCAAATTTCTATTACTGGCAGCTATGATTCCAATAATAGCTCCAAACATACACAAGAATTAAATTCTACTCCTCGCAACGACGTTCCTAATAATAAGCAAATTTCAAAGTCTACTAGTGGAAACGATATTCTTAAAATTAAGCAAGCCAACGATTATTCAAAAGTAGGAACAATTAAATCAACAAAAACTATTAGCATTAGCATCTTAGTTGCTGTCATCGCTATTATTTTCGGATTTGTGTTTTACTATGGAGTAAGTTTGTCAAATAAAGTATTTTTTTTTTATGCATGTGTTTAGGTAAAATTAACTGATAATTTTTAATTTTGGAGATTAGTCAATATTTGAAATATTCTTTCCGGTGAGCTTATAATTTGTTACTTTAAGGCTCAGGATTTTGGCGCGAGATTTAACTTTTATTATTATCTGCAGCCTGTTGATTCGCCTATATTTAGAAACCTTATAAGCACTACCAATTTGCTTTCTAGACAACTTGCTGAACTTAATATACCAGGTACAGAATTTTTAATTATTTCTGAAAAATCTTTATCAGAGAGTAATGATATATGGTAACAAACATTCCATCAAAATAGCATCCTCCGTAATAATAGGATATCGAGTCACTAGTAAATATCTCGCCGATATTATAAACCGAAATAAATTGTCTTCTAAAAATTCTGATAAGGTAGCACAATACCTCAATCAGCTTGGGGATAAATTAAGTAACTCGGGAGAGGCCATCGAAAAGATGTATTTGACTGGTAATTATGCTCTTAAAGAACTTGAATCAGAACTAAGGTTTATCAATGATGAAATTTTCCGGGAGCAGGTTATTACAAAGCAGGATGCAGTATACTTTGCTAACCGCTATGAAAAGATTTTAAAAGCCATCACAAAGTTGTGGGATGAATTCCGAATAACTTTAAGTGAACTTGATGATCTTTATGATTTATATAGTGGAACTCACCATCAACTTGCAAAAGGAATGAAAGATGTAGAGCTTTTTTTTGACGAGATTGCACCAGAGTTGAAGGTGTACTATAATATAGAAAAACTAAAACGAGATCTCAGTTATTTAAAACAGATAATGAAGAAAGTTCCTGACATTCGGAATTATATTAATAACCTTTTGTTTGAATTTAATAATCATCGAACGGTATTAATTGGGTATCGCAGGGAATGGATCGTATTGCGGAGACGAAAACTAGTTTCTTTTGAAGATACTGAGAAATTAGAGGAAATGATTCACAAATTAACGAATGTAATTAGGATCTTTGCAAAAAAAGATCTAGAAAATACTGAAAAACGAATTTACATATAAATAACATATATGGAAGAATATACATTATAAAAAAAGATGTAAATCAACGTTGTAAATAATGATTTATCGAGATTAATAAATATGTGAAAATATTATCTCAAGTGTTTATTTACTGTATAGTCGCTATTTCGAATTTCGGCCCGAACTAAACTTAATTTAGGCCGAAATTCGATGCAAGTATTGTCATAAGCATTGTCAAAGAGGAATACCAACCGTAATGGAATTACATTTAGCAAGTGAATGTTCTAATTTTCCAGAGGACATACAAAAATACTGGCAAGGTAAAATTCATAATCGAAATAATAATTCAAATTCTTATTCATTATAATATGCTAAATAAACTTTTCGGTTTTTTTATTTCATTGTAAAATATGCTCAAATAAATTTTCATCGTTTTATCGCAAGTATAAAACGTTTATCAGTATATATTTTGATGGTTTTCACATTTTTAATCTAAGCCTCGAAAATATAAACAGTATTAACCTTTCACGTAGATAGTTTATATTTTATCAAGTTTTATTATCTATATATTATTGTAGTTAAAACTAAATACATATAATGTAATATATTTTAAATTAAGTGCTCTCGATATTTGAAATTTCACAATATTTTTAAAAAATATTATTGTACCGTAAATTGCCGTATACAAGACCCGGGCCTGTTACATTCCACAAAATTTTCAAACCGTGTAATAGACTGGATATAGTAACAGTACATTGTGAAAGGGTGGATTGAGGCTTACAGTAATTATCATAATTTCTGGGACACCTGTAAAAATTTGCGAATGTTTTTTCGGCCGATCCGGTTAAATGATAGATTTCGGGAATAATAATAATAATAATAATAAGATTCAGAAACGGATATATCAGATACGTACGTACGAATTTAGTAAGATCAGATGACTAATCTAAGACGTAAATTTCAATTTCTATTCTTTGGCACGATCAATTTTCTCTAAAACGAAGCTTTTATTCATTTCTAATTATTTTTTGACTAAAATTCAGTTTTGAAAAATTATGTAAATTTTCAATTCATCCATTTTCGTTTAAACGAAGCCTTTATTCATTTCTAATCATTTTTAATGAATCGTTTTTAAAAAATTGTACAAATTTTCAATTCTTTATATTTGGCAAGCTCTATTTCGTTCAAACGAAGCCTTTATTCATTTCTAATTATTTTCAATGAAAATTAGTATTTAAAAAATTGAATTAAATTTCGATTCCTATTCTTTGGCAAGTTCACTTTAATTTCGTTCAAGATAATTCTTCATGCATTCGACAAATATTAATAATATCTTGGTCGCTTGGAATCTTAACCTGAGATTCATTTTAAACCAGTCGACAAATTCATGATTATATTTAACTTTTTTAATAGCGGCACCTGCTCGAGTAATATATTTGTTATAAAAGCATAATTTATATTCGATTCCTTTTTTACGTGTCTTATTAAGGTTTATTGGTTGACATGAACAGTTTTTTCCATAAATTTTTGTACAAACTAAGCACACTAAACATGTTTGAAAATTATCATTATGATACAAAAATAGCTTTTATTAATTATTTTATTATACGGATAATGCCGAATCAATAACTTAACCAGATCGGCCGAAAAATCATTCAGCAAATTTTTACCGATGTCCCAGAAATTATGATAATAGCTGTAGGCTCAATTCGGGCCAAACCTCTAAATAACGCTCGTGCCCGTTATTTCGCGACAATACGGTAATTGCACTATCAATTCGTATGGGTGAAAATTTTTAATGAGAATATTGTAATCATTAAAAAGTCGTATTTTCGTTGTTTAAAGGTAGCAAAATTCATATAATTATATCAAAATATTAATAAGCAAGGATGCAACGGTAATTATATGATTTAATAATTTTATTATATTTTTTATAAACGGTAACAAAAAAATTAATCAGCAAATCAAATACAATTATTCAATTAATCTTTACATAAACGATTGGATCGAATTTTATGAACTATTACTATTGCTTTTTAACCATCACTCAAATCAAAAATCTTTCAATTGCACTTAAAACGCCTTCCTTTTCTCCTGATTAGAGAGTTCTTCTGGTTGTTCGGGTTGTCCTTTCTCCAGATCAGGTTCAGGTTGTTTGGGTTTTCCTTTCCCCGGTGATTTTTCTGCCGATTTATCACTTTTGCTACTTCGAATGATAATATGAAAAATAATTAGTAATTAAAACGAATTTAAAGAAGTTAATAAAAGACATATATAAAAAGCAAAAGAATTACTTGCTGAACGCGACCAGGTCATCGCTGTTCTTGAAGGACAACGAATGCTAAATCTAAATTACGTTAAAAGAAAATTATGAGCAAAGATCATAAGAATACATACTAAACACTTTTTTTTTTTCTTTTTTTTTTGTACGTACCTCTGGGTGGTGCTTTTAATAAACTTACAATTGAGCAACGTTATGAGATGTTTTCTATATTGGTGAGAAAGAGACGTTGAAGATTTTTGTTTTATTTTTTTTCTTTATTTTGTGTTTTAATAAAAAGTGTTTAGCTTACGAAGACTTGAATTTAATATCTTTGACATATTAACATTTTCGCAATAGACTATATGGAGGCTTTGCAGTAGAAAGGGCCCCAACTCCAATATATATAATTTTGAGATAATCGAGTTTGAAATTTTGATCACATGACACAGATCAACAATCTGCAGCACTAAAAATAGAAAATCCCAACGATTGCACTAAAAATAGATTTACCAATAATCGTTAGGGATTTAGATCCTT